CATACAAATTACAATTCAATTTTTGTTTTCTCTAGAAATGAGTTGGGAGAATCGAAAGCTGAACCTCAAGTTATCGTTGGAAATCCAGGAGAAAATCATTCAACAACACAGCCACCAATCCAATCAACAACTCCTTCTCTGGAATACACAACAGTAATGATAACAACACCACTAACCGAAGCAACAACACAATCATCATCTGGTATATCAACGACCTACGAACCTACCTATCCTCCGACTTACGAGCCAACTTATCGCCCCACTTATCGTCCGACCTATGTACCGCCTTCTTCAACTTATGGTCCGACTTACGAACCAACTTATCGCCCCACTTATCGTCCGACCTATGTACCTCCTTCTTCAACTTACAGCCCAACTTACGAGCCAACTTATCGCCCCACTCATCGTCCGACCTATGTACCTCCTTCTTCAACTTACCGCCCAGCTTACAAACCAACTAACAGACCTACAACAAATCCGCCGAACGTAACAACAATACAACCACCACCAATATATGAACCGGAAATAAACTATTTCAAATGCCACGATAATCAAGCAGACATTTCATGGATACCACGCGGTAATACTGAAAATATTGTATATTACACGATTGAGCACAGCACTTCATTCAAACCATACGTTTGGAGTATTTTCGTTGATAAAACTGATGCAAATTTCCATGTGATTTCATTGAGTCCTGGTACTACCTATACCTTCCGTGTGATTGCAACAGATAAAAATGGAAAATTCAGTCAATCAAGTGAAACTGAAATGTGTTCAACCAAACCAGATGCTCCATATACAAATCCAACCAATGTGTACGTTAAAAGTGCATCATCAAACTATTTACTCGTCTCATGGAAACCAATGGCACAATCGATACACAACGGTCCAGGATTCTTCTATCGCATATACTATAGACAGGCTGGACTAGGCTGGATTCGACCATGGAATCAGGAAACTGTCACTGATTGGAAGCAAGACAAATATCTATTAAAGTATTCATCTTCTCTTAAGTGGGAAATAAAAGTTGTGGCTGTTAATAAAGTTGGCGAATCCAAAGTCAAACCTATAGTCATTACAATTTAACAAAATGTTAAATTAGTAGTAAATCCTCTTGTATTTCAAAAAATAACAATTAAAATATTATCACGAATGTATTTACCTTTTTTTAGTTCATGATAAGAAGAAATTTTTCCGCTTAGAAAAGATTATTTTGTCTTTCTTACGTTTTAGACGTAATCGATGCGGTAATTTACACAGAAAATTTAACACAGCATAAAATGCTTTCAAATCCATAGACAGATTTCACAGTCGGTATTCTTTTCCCTTTTCAAGCTTGAAAACACAAAATACCGTCACAAAACTCATAATCAAATCACAATCAATCAAATAATTTTTGAACCATGACTGGTGATACTTGAATTCACGGTAATAAAATATTCACGGATCTATCTACCATACACACAAGAGATAAACCCCACAAATTATTTTAGAATTCCTATTAAAAAATGAATTTGTTAGGTTTCCTTATAAAATCGCAATATTTTAACAGGAATCCTAATAAATTGGCGCGCTTAAACGTCAAATCCAACCTCACTGTGTTGAAACAAAATATATTTTATTATTTAAAGGTTTCCTAATAAAATGTTGCCATATTAGAAGGAAACCTTACAAATTAATCTTTTAATAGGAATCCTAAAATGATTTGTCAGGTTTATTTTTTGTGTGTAATATACCTGAAACAAAAAAATAACAAATGACGTCGAAATCAAAATCTCTTTACTATATGGTGCTGTTATTTTGATTAACGGTCAATCGTGCAATCTTTTCGTTTGATTTGATATGATTGAAGTAGATGATTTTGAGAAAGCGTCGAAAATTAATCAGACTTAAGTCACTTTGGCAGATCTTTTTTAATGATGACTTTCCTTTATTTAATGAGTTCCGATCGATGTCTCGTTATCAAGGATTTGGAAGACATTTCTCGGGTTAGTCAAGTTTTCCGCACAGTAACGAAAATCGATTTAAAATTATTTCAATGCTGTTTCGTTATTCTTGTTGTGAATATGTTGAAAAAATCTGTCATTGAACATTAATCTCATTTTTGGGAAGGTTTGCGCACAAAATATAAGACAATCCAAAGGGTCGATTTGTTACATTGTTACTATTTCATCGGATGGCTTCTCCAAAGTGAATGATTAGATAGCACTTGTTATTTGTGACACATTCTGACTTGGTTCCTCTTGAGAAAAATGTAAATTGAAAAAGATAATCAATAAAAAATAAATTGATTTGCTGAATTATACTTTCATTAGAACATTGACAAAAACAGATTTGAATAATCGATTGTATGACTCAATTATTAATTTAAACATCGCGTGATGAAATAGGAAATTGCAAATTTATAAAGACATTCCTCATCCAATTTCTTTCAATTCAATCATTATTCGTTGGACCTAATCTAACGACAATGACCAACATTTTCTTCAGATAAAATTTCGCTTTTTCACATTTCAAAACCCATTGTTGCCCAATTGATTTCAATCGCAACAAAATACCCGAAAAACAATTCAATCTTAGAAGATAAGCTAAAATATTTATGTTGAGAAGAGCATTTTTTTCAAAACGCTGATTTTAACGTGGAGTAATAAATTGTTACTTTGACACAAGTTTATCGTAGTTATTTCGCAATTTCGTAGTTTTAGATCGATATTAAAGTTAACAGTGATCATTCAACAACCAATCGATGAATTTCCGAATGGAATATTGTCTTCATACTTCAAGTACTATTTGTGAGTAATACGAATTAATGGCGATTACATGATGTTGACCAAAAATCCAAGTACTTCAAATGAGATTAGATTCATCAATGTTTAATATCACAAAATATAAAATACGTCGCATTTGTCAAAATACTCCAGATTCATTGCAGCATTTGCCACGTTTGCTTAAAACTGTTCAATACTTTTCTTTCTAAGTGGATGAAAATTAGACTGAAATAAGTGTTCATTGGATTTCAAGTGAATTGTGAAATTGTATTCAAAATGTGGTCAATTCGACTGCATACATTATTTTTGATTGCGCTTGCATTTCATCAAGTTCAAATCCACGGTATGTGTCGTCATTCTGATTGCTTTAGAAGAAACAAAACCATTTTGCTTTAAAGGAGAATCATTTTGCACAAGAAACTTTAAATCACGAATTTTATTGACAAAGTATTTAAATTTTCCATAAATTCACAGCCACCGATTTAAGTCAAAGTTTTGCAACGCAACCACCAACAACAATTGGTCCAGAAATTCCAACAGAAGCGCCAGGAATAGAAAATTTCAAATGTGGCGAAAAAGAGGCTATGATTATATGGA